ACATTATGAAATGGACAGCCAGAGAGAATAAATGAAAAACAGTTATGAAATACTATATGACAAAACAAGAATACAGTTTAAAAGGGGAGTGATTTGTAAAATATCCATAAAGAAAAATCTATTTACAGTTCTGTTTTATATGGGTGTTGAAAGATGTATCCATAGATCTCTTAATTTTGCTCTCAAAGTCAACCAGATTGATGCTTTTAACTTCAATATTTAAAAAGAAATCTTCCCGGGGAACATGCCCCCGGACCCCCCTAGAGGAGGTTAGGTCCATGGTGTTTACATACTTATTTATACAATATGTGTGCTTATGCTAACATCATAAGACAAAAGTTGGTTCCGTGTTGTGTGTAGTGAGAACGTGCTAGATTGAGGGGGGCCCCCAAGCCAAAGCTCGCTTAGGGCCCCCAAAAGTCTAGGGCCGGCCCTGCTGACGTGTTTTGGACGTAATCTCGTCTTTGTTTACATTAGCAAGCCTCACTAATACTCAGAGCTAACCTGTACTGTAGAGCACATGTGTTTAAAAAGCGGGAAATAAAAAAAGGAACTCACCTTGCGGTAAACCCGCAAGAGAAAAAGAATTTGAGCTCCATACTGTTTCAGAAATAATCCTTGATGTGGTTTAGAACAGGATGGCATTTTATCACAGCAGAATTTAACTTTATCCTTTATAGAATTCTGATCAGGCATTAGCTCCGCCTCCTCTTTTTTGTTTTTCAAGCTAAGGACCCAAAATCCACGTTTCTCTAACAGGGCTGCAAAAGAGGGGTATGAGCAGTATGAGGGATGGCTACAATGGGTGAACTGTTAGGAATTGTAAGCAAAAAACTTCACAGACATGTTTTGTATAGGTATGGCCCTACAATATATTTTTCCAATATAGCATAATAGGTCCACTTTAAGATTTACTTGGGGACAAAATCCTCTTTTAAATATTGTTTTAAAAGATGGCAATTTTCTGTTGATATTTTTTACGTTTTCTTTTTCCATTTAGAAAAAATAAACAATTGTTTTAACAGATAAGAAAACTTAGCAGTATGTGTCCTTACAAAGATTACATTACATGTTACTTGTTAGACGATTTTATCCAAAGTGACTTACTCAATACTGTGGACAGTCCCCACAGGAGCAATTTGAGCACTGAAACATTCACATTTGAAACATTCAGATCAGCCCATCTCTGATTCAAAATTAAAACATTTGTCAAACAAATCTGTCAGTTACTGTCGTCAATTTGTGATTTTCAATTGAAAATTACATTCAGTTATTTGAAAGCAAAATAAGCATGAAGAATTCCTGAAATCACTTAACAGAAAGTCATATGTGTTCATGCTTTGAGTCACAGCGGTTCTGAGAAAGAGTATTTTCGGTAACCGCTGTTAGAAAGAAAGAATTCACTCAAAGCGACAGTCCTTTGCACTTTTTACCGTCCCTTTTCTTGTATGTAAGGCACCTCCTGCATATCAGTGTTATCAGAAAGGCTACAACCTTGCATGCTAAGCAGCTCTATTTATGGAAAAAGGAAGTAAGAAGATGTCAGTTTATTGTCACTATGAGTCCTATGAACTGTGTCAAAATGTGTTGCCACCCCTCTACTGAATGTATAGTATGACAAAAAAATATATATTTTCTTTTCAGTCGCCCAGTGAGCAGCTAGTGTGTGCATCATGATTGTGAATAAGAGCAGAATGTGGGGGTGAGGTTGCCTCCTACCCAGTCTGTTGGTTTCTTGGTTTCAGTCTTCAGTCAATCCCAGACGAGATGGTTGGCAGTGTATTTCTTTTAGATTTTTTAGACTCAAAATGCACTTCCTATGGAATCAAATCATATGTTTTCCTCCTTGGTAAGTGTTTTTTTATTGTTTCCTTTAAAAGTTTGCTATCTTTATTTTATTTCTATGTTTTGTGTTGGTTTTTAGCCTTATTTTTATTTGTAATGTATTATGAATGCAGTTTGTGAACTGCTCTATCATTATACAGTACTCAAATCAAACCACTCCCTAAAGATTCTTGTTGTTTTTCACATTAAAGGTGTGATCCTTGTTTACTACACAGCACTCTCCTCTCATGTTCAAGCTTCGAAAGGTTGGAAATGTTATTTCGTTTCAACAATTCAGATAATAAATCCTCATACTGCTGCTTACTTAACAGTGGTGTGTTCATTGTATCTTTAGTAAATAACTTTCCTGGATGAATAGCTCTATTTATCTGCAAGAACTATGAAAGCAAATCGTAATTATTATAAGATACGTGTCCTACCATAAAATAAAAAGTGGCATCATATTTAGAGTTGTGTTCTGCACAGAGAAAAGAGCATTATTGTAAAATGACCAATTCTTGATTATGTTCCAGTGCCCTGCAAGTCAAAGAACTTTTCTTCAAAATATCAGCACTGTGGGATAAACCCAGGTAAAAACACATTTGAGTCATCACAGATTGAATCATTAGATTGGAGACTTACTTTGAACTGTGACTCTACACTGCCTCTCTTTTAGCTGGAGTGCATGATTTAGATTGTTTTGGTAAACATCCGACATCCTATCGCTGTGTGTGGAAGCCTGGAAACAGCGCATCAGAAAATACATACACACTGATCATAACACAACTGTAAGTAGGCTTTCTTGAGTTTTTCTATCTAACATGAAACTGTTCGTACCATTTGTAATGATTTCTAACATTAAACTGTTTTTTAAGCTCTTCTCCTTCTAGGATAAGACACTGCAAAGTTTACAACACATCGCAAACAAACATCACTGAGGGGATACATTTATATGAAAAGTACAACATGACCGCTGAGGTTTTTGAAAACAGCGCATCAACCAATTGCACAAAATCAGTTTTCAGAGGGTCACCAATGAGCTTGTGTAAGTTCAAAAACATTTATTTATAAGAGAAAGAACCTGATAATGTCTCTCTTTTTGATGATTAATCTCTGACTGAATATATGTTTTTTTGTTTTTTTTTAGTCCGATGTGGGCCTCCACATAATGCTTCCTTCAGTCGCCACTCAGGAAAACAAGATGTGAGTGTGAAGTGGCAAAATGAGGATAGAAAAGATGTTCAGTATTACTCTGTGAGATATAAAGCACTGGGTAGCCTGTCATGGAGCAAGGTCAGTACCAAACACCTGTTAACACAACATAAATCAGTTTTCATATTCTAAATGTTTAAAAGGGAGGTCAAGATTAGTGAAATTAAAGTTAAATCTTATATTAACTGAGAATTTGGTATGTTAGCTGTCTTACTTTAACTTCATGTGGAATAACTTGGACGGAAACTAAAAATAAAAATGTGTTTCTTATCTGAATAAAGCAGCAGGATTCCCTCTTGAGGTTACAAAATCCCTTATCTACATTTGACAACACATGTACTGCTATTTCGAAACAACCTTATCCAGTTTACTATTGTGCCATGCATTTCCAATGCATTACTGCATGTACTACATTGAAGAGTAGGTTTGGCTTCTTTAGCAACAAGAATACAACTACACTTTATAAACAACACAAGAGCAATTTAGTACAACACTTCAATAAACTTTAGGGACAAGACTAACATTTTACAGGCTTAGGCACAGCACACTAATATGTTCCGAAAATATATTGTTACATGCCAAAATGCAGCATGTATCATGTTTACCATGTTCACCGTCTAAGTTAATGGTGCTAGCATGCTAACTAGAAACAAAAAACTCAACTTTAAAAAGTGCGCTCCAGAAGAAAGGAAATACATTATACAGCTGTTTTTAATAGTTTACTTCATGGCGAGTAAACTGACCTTTATGTGTGAAATCAGTGGAATTCCCCTTTAATGTAACTACAGAAGGACCTGTTGTTGTTTGAGTCTCCCTAGCAGAAAAGATCTCAAAGAGCTAAGATGATTAGATATAGGTTATGATTGAATCTACAAACTATTTATATAACAGGAAAGAAGAAAGGCCTTAAATATTTTTTCTTTGTGGTTCACAGCCTCTCATGCAATCTAAAAATGGAAAGAAATGTACAGTGGAGAATTTAAACTCCTCACTGGTCTACAGTGTGCAGATACAGTGCGTCACTAATGATAGATGCCCACAGTGTCCATGGAGTGAAACTTACACTGTCCCTGCAGGTACGTTTGCTTTTTTACTTTTATTGGTTTAAAACTGAATACAACATTAAAAACAAGCAGGTTTTGTTATACTATTGTGGTAATTGTGATAAATGTGAGATACATGCTGAAAGAAAATCTGTATGCAACTGTTCAATTGCAAGAACTGTTTTTCAAATATCTTAATAAATAAATGTCCTTGTTCAGAACTGACTACACAGCCTGTCATGGTCAACATGAAAGATACTGACATTGCAAAGACAAAAGGCAGACGGCTGATTTCTCTAACCTGGAAGGTATTTTCTTCTTTAATGTATCTCCTTACATTTTCAAGAAACACAAAATATATTGGGGAATATGTCTTCTGTTTAATCATGGCTGATATCATTACAATATTTAAATGACCCTGTCTGTTAGTTTCCTGCTAAAGAACTGCATGATAGCTACCATGTGATCATTGGGAAAGCATCAGGAGAGGCCCCACGTCAGAGGATGATCACCACTGAGCCAGAAATCAGACTGGCTCTCTCATATTCAGAATATCATCTCAACATCAGTGCTGTGAACAACGCTAGCACATCCCCAGCTGTGAGCCAGACAATACCACAGCGAGAAGACACACCAAGTTAGTTGTCAACTCATTTTATTTTTATTTTGGAGATATGATCTATATAATTCCTTGTACGATAAAAGGATTACAAATATACTCCATTAATTTGTCAACACAGGTACGGGAGCGGAGAAGCTGAACGTGACAGTCCACAACAATACATCTTTTACTATCCACTGGAAAGAAGATCTCATCAAAAACTATGTCTGCTACTCTGTGGAGTGGATGGAGAGGGGACATAAAGCAGGCTCCATGTCTTTTTATCAGGACGAACACAACCACAGGACTTTAACGTCTTTACCAGGTAAGGAAAAACGTACAGATGTTGACCAACCCTGTCCCGTTCAATGTCTGCCACGTACATTTTCAAAAAAGTTAATAGGTGTCATATTCAGAAGTTAAAGGATATACATGTTTTTGTAGCAGAGGACCTTTCAGGGGAAAGGATTTGTTTGAAGGTTCAGCCAACAAAGTTAAGGTTAGGGAAAGGGAAAACATGTATCATGACCCTGACTGAGTCCTCAGGTTGTTTTAATATACCGTAGTTTTCGGAATATAAGCCGCACCTGAATATAAGCCGCAGCAGCGGCATACCACTCTCGGTTCCACTTTTACTTTTGCGCGCTACCTGTCTCACTCTTTTCCGGCCTCCAGTTTTTCCTGCTGGAACCCGCCGCTTAAAGGTGGGGGTCCGCGGACCGGCCGTAGAGCCCATAGAGTTAAAGGTGTTGGCCGTTAGCTGTAAAAATCCATAGATTAGCCGCACCGTTATATAAGCCGCAGCGTCGAAAAATAGGGAAAAAGGTGCGGCTTATAGTCCGAAAATTACGGTACTTCAAGTGTATTTCGGAATACTTCAAATGTTGTTGGAGAGTTAAACCTTTTTAGACTTTTTCCTTCTCCATACACATTGGACGTATGTGAAGTTGTGCCAGGAACCCCCACTTAAAAAACAGAAAACATGCAAGGATAAGCAAATACAATTAATTTCAGTGAACATTTTTGCATCTTCTGTTTAAACATAATTTGTTCAAAAACGTTTTTTTTCCTAATTTTGTTGCTAGTAACATTGTTTAGGTGGCCTTATGATTCTCATAGAACGTTGTTTGCTAATTTGAATAGGTAGTATGAAATTACAATCTTCAGTTTCCTTCCTCTGAGATAATATATTTGGTTATTTTAAATCCCCAGAGCCTTTGGAGCCTTATAAGAGATACAGCATCACTCTGCACACACGGCCAGACAAGGACACCTGCAACATGAAGAAGGTGAACAACAGTGAGAGCACCTATGGGAGAACACACTTCTACTCCGTAGAAGGATGTAAGTCACAGGCCTTCTACCTTTCCACTATTTTATAATGTTGTCGGAATAAATGAATTACTCTGATGCTATTAAGCAAAGACCGCGAATGTCTGCATCAAATTGAATTTCCATCCATCCAACATTGGTTGAGAAATTGAGAATCTGCTTGTAAATCAAACAATCTGCTAGCAGTGCTCGAGAGAAAAGTCAAGGGATCTGCAAAGTCATATGGATTCAGCCTCTGGGGACCATGAATATACACATTTTCATGGCAATCCATCAAATTGTTGCTGGGATGCTTCAGTCTGTTTCAGTTGTGGACTGCCTGAACAATATTGAAATCACAACAGAAGCTACACGGATAGCCTACAGTAGCTAACACCAAGGATAAAGATCACATCTAATAGGCCAATACATATTGATTTTTCTTATCCTATCAAGAACCAAACAGACTGATTTCTTGATATTGTGCTCCCAAAGCACCACTCAGTGCTCCCACAAACCTCAGCTTCTACAATGTATCGCTGAATTCAGTGGAGCTGCAGTGGTTGTCCATCCCAGAGGACGACATCAGAGGTTTCCTTCTGCGTTACATAATCTACTGGACTGAGTACCATGGAGGGGTCACTACAGAGAGAAGTAAGTATTATCCACCCAAAACAAAGTCCTAACTCACTTACAAGCTTTTATACTCGTTATTTTGGCCAAACCATAAATATAAAACAAATGTTCAATTGTAAAGTCCAGATAAAACATGTACAATAACTTTGTATCAGCTGTAACATCATTGGCTTCACATTGTTGTTTGCCCTCAGTGACACACAGCCAATTATTGTCAGTGGATTTCCTGTCTACCAGCTAGTTTGTTCACCACTGTCTCAGTCTCTAGAGGTTGATGAACAATATTGATAGACTGAAATTGAAAGCTGACAATTCTTACAAACGTAATAAGTGGAATTTGATGGTTTGACAAGACAAGAACGCTGTCAATGTGGTGTGACAAAAGCACTAACAACATACTGCTAACAATCACAAACATCTACAACAACATAGCTCTACCTAGACAGCCTTTCCTCTTGTGAAAGTTCTGTTTTTGAATTTAGCCATACAGCCTGCTAGCAGCTCCATACGATTATATTCATGCACATAATAACTTGTGCTGGCTGCTAATGTCAGCATGCTAACATGCTCAAACAATAATGCTAACATACTGATATTGAGCAGACCTAATGTTTACCATGTCCATCTTAGTGTACCTTGGTAGCATGCTAACATTAGCAAATTAGCATTAGGCCTATGTGTTGTTCAGGGGCCTCATGTATAACGCCGTGCGTAGGATTGACGTGGGAAGGTTGCTTAAGTAGAAGAAATCCGAAAAATAGGTCCATACATTTTCCGCCACTTTCCGATTCACCAAACATTGCGTACCGGCGAGGAAAGTGCGTATGGCACTTCCTACACTGCGGTCAAGCAAGCCGTCTTTCACTTTTGCGTGGTCAAACCAGCCGCCCCTGTATTTCGAGTGCGCGATTAGTTACAGGTTTACGGTAATGCAATAAAACAACCCTGGGAAGCTGGATTTCAAAGTAAAGGATGGCATGTGGTTCATTTCTATTATTTGCGATTGAGGAACAGGGTAATTTATGAGAATAATTTTAGGACTTATTGCTTCATAAACTTGTTGCACAAATACTATGAACTACTTTTACTGTTTACTTTTTGAGAATGGCAAAATTCCCTCCAGAGAACAAGAATGACCACATTAATTGTCTAACTTTGACATGGGATAAAAAACATTTC